TACAGCCACCCATTTGATATACTGTAGATATGTTGAAGAAGCAGAGTTTCTATTATCAACATCTTCATCCAGAAGAGATAGGACATTTACAGGCATTCTGTGGCCTCAAAACAGCTAAGCCAACGGAGGGGACAGATTTACAGACAAGCAACAATCAGATTTATAAGCCTTATCAGAATTAAACATACACTCAGCAATGCTCATTGCTGGGAGCATAAAAAGTTTGAATGAGAACGCCACACTGGAAGTTAGACAGTTTTGAGATCCTCATTTTAACCTCCAAATCCAGCAATCCTCCTATTTTACACAGCCCCTGATCTTGCACGGTCTTCTAAATGACATGAAAAGAAATCTTTAAAAAGAAAATCTTTCGGTAAACAAGAACACCGTAAAGTTTGTCAAGGTCTCGGGCAGCTCCTAACGTGACAGGGCCTGTGGTTTGGTCTCAGGCACCAAATAAAGAGAGTAAATGCTGTACGGAGTCAGAGAAAGGTCTCTCTTCACCAAGGGAAATGAAAGATCCTACCTGAGTGAGCCGTTTGGGAAAGAAGCAGTTTCCAGAGGGGTAAAGTTAAATACCAGGAAAAAATCATGGGCTCTGAAGGGCTTTTTCCCGCCTGCAAGTAAGGTATGAGGGATTCAGCTGAGATTCGTTACGGAAGGCAAAATGCATCGGAATACAGGACGGATCTTGCACAGGCTTGTTTTACACCAAGCGCGTCTGAATCACTGGAAGCCGATGGGCCACGCTGAAGTCAACCCCTGCCCGCATCGGAAATGATATTACGGTGCAAAAAATGCCTTTCTTGCTAAGGCGGGACAATTCGTTTCAGGATGCAGAGAGAGACTTGTTGAGATTTTAAAGCCCTGCTCTGGGCCAATAAAAATATTGTATATTATGAAAGACTTGCAGGGTGGGAAGAAAGGCGTTTCTTGACTTAGCTTTATGCACCAATAAGCTGCCTTTCTATTACTTTTTTCATGCACCTTGAGCTAAATAAAGTCCATTTATTTATATTTATTATTTATTTAAAGTCTATTCATCCATCCATCCACACCAGTGTTTCTCAACCTTGGCAACTTTAAGATGTGTGGACTTCAACTCCCAGAATTCCACAGCCAGCATG